CGAGTAGGCGTTTCAAAAGGGCCCTGCAACACTGTTTTAAAAGGGTCAGAAAACGCGGCCAATTGGTAGTATGGGCTCCCGACAACACGCAAGCCAAATATCATAGCGCAGCACGCGGCCTGGAATTCGCAATAAATTATCAGTCAGCTAAAAAGTGCTTTCTCTTCTCTCGAGAAATCACGGAATATGCCGAAAAATCACACGTAGCAAGCTCATTTATCATCCATTGGTTGATTTGAACATGGCGCACTCACTCTTTACAGAGATCGCCGTGGGAGACCGCTACTTGTCAGCAACGTTCTAAAAACGTCGCTTGTCAGCGCGTGCGAAAAAGCCGCGCATTCGAAGGTCACGAGGCGCGCGTGATGTTTTTCCGTGGCTCTGCCCTCTTTTACTGCTTATTTTCCAGCGCTTTCGTCCGGACGAGAGTAAAGATAATGCAATTTCAGCACGCGACAAACCTTTCTACCTCCACTCGCGCTAGACGGATTTTTAAAAATTTTGCGGCGTTGAATTCGTGAGGCAATAAGCTTCTCCAGTGCATTCATTCCATGGTTACTTGAAAGAGTGTTTCATGGTCTCTTTAAAGGACCACCCGTTATAATGCGCTCAGGCATACTTAATCGTAAATAGCTGCAAAAGCATCAATAAAGGGCACGGCTGCTTCGCATTTTGCTGTACGGACGTTCAGTCGGCCTTTTGCTTATTCGCAAAAGGAATAATGATGGCTTAATGAGCTCTACGCAACCCTACTTACATATGGGCATTCTAGAATATATTTAAAATGGCTAATGTTGCGTGCAGAGACGTTGGTTTTCTAGCGGTATGATTGAGGCATGCACCAAAAACCGAAGCTAGGCTAGCTATTGAGAAAGGGACACGCATGGGCCCAAACTACGCTATCAAATTCTATTTTTGAAGGTGAAGCTCAAGCATATGCGAATTTTCGCCCAACTTACTTGCAATCGCACATAGCACAATGCTACATTTAACGCTTGCTTTAATTTGGTTTCAGCTGAAAATAGCTTGGTATACACATTTCACCTGAGCTGTAGCTTCGTGGCAGATGATTTTCTGCCTTGAGCTTAAGCTTCGCGAAATTGGGACCTTTACGCTTGTGAAGCCACGTCTGAAGGTCAAGAACTCTTCTATGTAAAGTCATATTACCATATATTCACCCCCGATCGAGGCGGAAATGTTGTAGGCCCGTGTGCTAAGATTTGGGTGCACGTTAAAGAACCCCAGGTAGTCAAAATTTCTATAGCCCTCCACTACGGCGTCTCTCCTAATCATATGGTGGTTTTGGGACTTTAAACCGCACAAATCAATCAATCAATATATTCACCCCCCCCCCCCATACAAACACCGCGCGTTGAAGCTACTTTCTCTCCAGTTTCTGTACACTCATTCCCTTTTTTATTTCAGTCGACATTTCCTGCCTTGGTTGCGTCAATAACAAGTGAATGGAACGTGTGGTAGCGGCGAACAAGAACTGCGATGAAAATAGACTTATGCCAGTAGTGTTTTACAGGGCAGCTGGAACTGACGTTCTTAGCGTCACCGAAAAGTATAGCCTACAAATAATGCTGATAGACTTATGAAGTGTTTGTTAAAGGAAGCCTGCCCACTACGGCAACTCATGCGCACAATTGCCACACGCAGCACACACACGAACACGTGATCACGCACACACACACACACGTGCGCGCACAGCTAAAGAAAAAATTACTATGTGCACTTTTCACCCGGTGTCGTATTTTGCACTATTAGTTGTCAGTATGAAAACATGACACGTTTGCCGAGAGCATCGGAACAATCGAAACCTGAAGCATATATGAATTCAGTGCCACATTTTCTTTCTCAAATGAAAGTGATAACCGTCATCTCCCTTTTTTTTTCGCTCGTGCTCTGCATAAAATGTGCTCCACCCCATTCTTATTCTTCTAGTTACTTCAATCTCGTGGTTCGGCTCTGCGGTTATTACCTGCCCTAAGTAGACATAGTCTTTTACAACTTCAAGTGCACTATTACCTATCTCGAAGCGCTGCTCCTTGCCGAGGTTGTTGTACATTACTTTCGTTTTCTGTAGATTAATTTTAAGACCCACCTTTCTGCTCTCCTTGTCTAGCTCCGTAATCATGAGTTGCAATTCGTCCCCCGAGTTACTCAGCAATGCAATGTCATCGGCGAAGCGCAGGTTACTAAGGTATTCTCCATTGACTCTTATCCCTAACTGTTCCCATTCTAGGCTTCTGAAAACCTCCTGTAAGCACGCGGTAAATAGCATTGGGGAAATTGTGTCCCCCTGCCTTACACCCTTCTTGATTGGTATTCTGTTGCTTTCTTTATGAAGCACTATGGTAGCAGTTGATCCCCTGTAGATTTCTTCCAGAATGTTTATATATACTTCATCTACGCCCTGATTCCGCAATGTTTGCATGACGGCTGATATTTCTACTGAATCAAACGCTTTCTCGTAATCTATGAAGGCTATGTATAGGGGTTGGTTATACTCTGAGCATTTCTCTATTACCTGATTGATAGTATGAATGTGGTCAATTGTTGAGTAGCCTGTTCGAAATCCTGCTTGTTCCTTTGGTTGATTGAATTCTAATGTTTTCTTTACTCTGTTAGCAATTACCTTTGTAAATAGCTTGTATACTACAGAGAGCAAGCTGATCGGCCTGTAATTCTTCAAGTCCTTGTCATCTCCTTTCTTATGTATTAAGATGATGTTAGCGTTCTTCCAAGACTCTGGTACTCTTCCCGTCAGGAGACACCTCGTAAACAGGGTGGCTAGTTTTTCTAACACAATCTGTCCTCCATCTTTCAGCAGATCTGATGTTACCTGATCCTCACCAGCAGCTTTGCCCCTTTGCATGCTCTCCAAAGCTTTCCTGACTTCTTCTATCATTACTGGTGGGGTGTAATCTGGGTTACTGCTAGTTCTTATAGTATTAAGGCCGTGGTTGTCACGGCTACTGTACAGATCTCCGTAAAACTCCTCTGCTATTTTAACTATCCTATCCATATTGGTAGTTATTTTGCCTTCTTTGTCCCTTAGTGCATACATCCGACTTTTGCCTATCCCAAGTTTCCTCTTCAATGCTTTGACACTTCCTCCGTTTTTCAGAGCGTGTTCAATTCTCTCCATGTTATACCTTCTTACATCGCATACCTTACGTCTATTAATCAACTTCGAAAGCTCTGCCAGTTCTATTTTGTCTGTTGTACTTGACACTTTCATGATTTGACGCTTCTTAATTAGGTTCTTCGTTTCCTGGGAAAGCTTGCCAGTGTCCTGTCTAACTACCCTGCCTCCAACTTCCACTGCACACTCCGTAATGATACTCGTTAGATTATTATTCATTGTATCTACGCTAAGGTTCGTTTCCTCACTAAGAGCCGAGTACCTGTTCTGCAGCGACACTCTGAATTCCTGTACTTTCCCTCTCAGTGCTAGCTGATTGATTGGCTTCTTGCGTATCAGTTTCTGTCGTTCCTTCTTCAAGTCTAGGCGAATTCGAGACCGTACTATTCTATGGTCACTGCATCGTACCTTGCCAATCACTTCCACATCCTGCACGATTCCAGGTTGTGCACTCATTATAAAGTCTATTTCGTTCTTATTTTCGCCATTAGGGCTCCTCCATGTCCACTTGCGGTTTTCTCGTTTTCGGTAGAAGGTATTCAAAATCCGTAAATTATTGCGTTCTGCGAATTCTACTAGTAGCTCTCCTCTGGCGTTTCTAGGACCGATGCCATAATCTCCTACTGCCTGGTCTCCAGCCTGCTTCTTCCCTACCTTTGCATTAAAGTCGCCCATCACTATAGTATACTGTGTTTTTACCTTACTCATTGCCGATTCCACGTCTTCATAGAAGCTTTCAACTGAAGCGTCATCATGGCTGGATGTAGGCGCGTAAGCCTGTACTACCTTCATCTTGTATCTTTTATTCAGTTTAATTACGATACCTACCACCCTTTCATTAATGGTATAGTATTCCTCTATGTTGCCAGCTATGTTTCTGTGAATTAGGAACCCCACTCCCAGTTCTCTTCTGTCTGCCAAGCCCCTGTAGCAAAGGACGTGCCCATTCTGTAGCACCGTATAGGCCTCATCTGTCCTCCTAACCTCACTGAGCCCTATTATATCCCATTTAACACCCTCTAGCTCCTCGAATAGTACAGCTAGACTTCCCTCACTAGATAAGGTTCTAGCATTAAACGTTGCCAAGTTCAGGTTCCAATGGCGGCCTGTCCGGATCCAGAGATTCTTAGCACCCTCTGCTGCGTTGCAGATCTGACCGCCGCCATGGTCAGTTGCTTCGCAGCTGCTGGGGACTGAGGGCCGCAGCTCAGAGAAGTCAATGTTCCCCTAATGAGGACACCTCAGTAGCACTGAATCAGAGGAATAGAAGCTAAAAAGGAGTGGGAGAAGTCGAGGGAAAAGGAACCCAGCCAAGTTTTTGAAAGCATTCCAATTTTCTGTACCTAATGCAAAGTTTTCCTTCCGTTTACCTTTCCATTTGGTTTCTAAAACCCCACTGTGTCTTACTTAGAGAGTATTCGCATCACTGGTGGCATAGACATCAAAATAGATAAGCTGTTTAGGCCCGGCTAGGCAGGTAGAATCAAGACACTGGAACAACAATACTCAATCAGCAATAAAAAACACTGCTAAACAGAACGAAAAATAGAAGCAAGTACATTCCTGAGAACAACAAACACCAAGAACAAGAGTGCAAGCGAATGTCTTTCTATAAACTCAATAAATTAGCCCACATTCATCTCGCTGGCAATTTCAGGAGGCAGGTGGCTGCACTCAATGACGGATGGTTTTGTTTCCCAACCATCTCTATTATCACGTCATTTCATAGATGCTTTTTTTTCACATGTCAGCATCGCCACACTCCTCTTACCTGTATATTCTATTTGCCCTTAGGAAGCTATGCTAAGCGTAACAAAAGAAGGAGAAAAAGTGCCGCACAATGAATTACCGAGAAAGGAATGTGCTCCTGTGTCTGAAGCGAGTCGATGATGTAGATCTTTTCCCTCGTCGACACCCCCGGATGCTTAGATGGTGTTTCGGATATGAGGAGGAACCATGGCAACACCCAGAGGATACCTAGCATGCCTGTGTTTAGAAAAAGTTGTTAACGATTTATCGTACTAGGTCCTCTACTATGGGAGGGCCTGAAGCCGTCCCGTGGCATTCTCACAAAGAAACCGATCGTTTCTTGCCCCGGCACGACAGCAAAACAACGAGTGATTGACCCCTCCCCCCGCTGAGCTTGACAAACTAGGGACTTGTATAACTCGCAACTCCTTTCAAGCCCTGTTTCACAACTTAAAAAATAAGTCGATATGCTGACATCTCATTAACTTCAATCTTCATCTCTCTCTCTCGACCAAGTAAAAAATACTTTTACTCACGTCTTCAAATCAAATGATGCCTTTGCTGTATCTATATCATGAGCAAAAACTGTACGAAAACTTTAACACAAAGCGTTTTTTACTACGATATGGTAGTTTTAGGACGTTAAACACCAACAATTATTAAAAGTTACGTCTTTTAATGCACCAGTCACTCTTGCAGGCATACGCAATTGACGGGTCATATGCATTGTTAGATGCCTACTAACTACAGAAGGGGCCAGATTGCGCCATTGAAATACTCGTCTTCGAAATGCCACACTTTGGGTACTGCTTTGAGAGACAAGTACGCAAAAGGCACAACATGAAGTCTCTGTTCGTTGTCTCCTTCCAGTTCGTTCTTGCTGTGGCTCTCCTTGATTCATGTGGTTACCACCTCAATAACAATGAAACACTCTCCAGTCACGAAGCTGTGCCTACAAACGGAAACACCCACCTTCAGGTCAATAGGGTAAACGAAATTTGAAAGAATTTGATGTCGCGCGAAACAAAACAAGGACACGTGTAGGTATACATGGAGGACCCTGTGTGGTGTCCGTATGTGCCTCCTCGGGTCCGTGTTTCACTTCGCGCGACAACAAATTCTTTAAATGAGTCACCAATAAGCCCCCATTTCAACCCTCATCATCTGCAAAGGCTCGCAGCATGAACCGTACCTAAATTATAACGCTGAAGAAATACTGACGCAGTTGGTCCACAAACAAAAAAAGGCAACATTGAGAACGTATTTAATCTATCCATCATGACGCTGCCGGTATCTTTGCAGATCTTGCCGTGGACTTGGCGATGTGCACAAGTTGCGTGGCACCATGTGCCGACTTCACTAACGCCTAAATATAGCGAGTTGTTGGGTCAGTCGGCAAGGCATCTTTGGAAAAGAAGCGCTGAAGCCGCTCAAAATAAAGTGCACACGACGGCTTTCCTCCTTTCCTGGGCGTCTTTCCTGTCCTGTGTATGCTGAATCGCTTATGCATTCCCTTTCGCAAGATTCTGTAAAGCTCTCCAGCAATCACAGAACGACTGTGCCTTCAAAATTACCCGTCCTTTGAAGGCAAGAGGTGGGGATGTGTGTAGCAGGTGATAGAAAACTCTGTGCTATAAGCAAAATCACAGCTTATAACTTGCTCACATGTGTGCTATGCTTGGTATATAATGAAATAATCTTAACTACATGCTCTATTGTCACAGAATGAGGTTACGACCTGTCAAATAAAATTTAAAAAGAAACACTCACCATAGAAGTAGAGCCCCGCTGTAGAACTGAAGAGACTCTCGAATATGGAGAATATTTGAAAGCTAAGTAAGCTGCCGAAATGAAGACCTGCGAGGACAATGAGAAATGTCATTGTTACCAGGGCTGCAATGAGACAGCTTGATTGTGTACCCTTAAATGCAAACGGCGAAGTGAAAGTGTCACAAGGCTTACCCCTATTTTAGAATATTCTACTACTTTTTATAGCATAGTGCATCTCTGGAGTAAAGCGACATTTGTGGCTTGTGCTTGAAGTTTAAGAGTATACTGAAGTTCCACTAAGCTGCGACAGAACCTCAAATTGTGTAATTAGAAAAGCAACGCAACGGTTCGGTCGGGTGCAGGAAGTACGAATTTCCAAGGTAAACATAAAAACGAGTCGTTTAAAATATGTCAGCCACCAAAAAAATTATTGCATACACACGAAATGAAAGATGACGAGTAGGCAAAGCTCCAGGGGATCTTTGACCCCCGTACTTTGTCCACTCGATCATGCAAAGACGTTACAACACGTGTGTACAGTATAAACAAAGCTGTTTATGAATCACAGTGCACATGTGGTGTTGAGATGTCCATAAGGATATTCTTATGGACATTCATATGAATGTCCACATATAAATTCATATGTGGATATCCATATCGATATGGATATCCACAAGGATATGGATTTTATTTCTATGCTAATATAAATATCCACATGGATAGACACGTTGATTGAATATCCATAGGATATCCATGTGGATATTCATATGGACGTACAAATGAACATGCATATCCATATGGATATGGATATCCATACCATGCCACAGGGGATGTGGCTCCACCCTAAGGAGCTTCACCCCTAGAAGAGACTGCTGTAGATATTTCGCGACTCCCCCAGGACCTCCACATCCTGCACTTCTCGGAACATGTCTCTGTTCCTGAATTACAGAAAGGTGGGTGAGTTGGTTTAGGTTCATAAATGAAATGAAAGGGGAAGCACTGGGACGAATACAGAAGGCGAGATGGCGACAGAACGTGCGCTGTGTCGTGTCGTCACAGTGCGTGTCCCGTCTTCATCTGGTCTTATGTATTCGTCCCGGCGTTGTTCTTTTTTCTTATTCCTGAAATTGTTATTAGCGACTCGAGGAGCGACTATTATGTATGCCGACACGAGGTAGTTACTCCAGTGCTGCCATCGAGTAGATCCCTGTTTATATTCACTAAAGAGAGCCGCACATTTACGCGAGTAATCAACTACTTCAGTTCCTTATAGAAACAGAAAAGATTATATATGTAATATCCAGTAAATAAATGCAAGTAAGTAACGTTTTTTAACGTGAAATCAAGAATGGCGAATTTGGAAACAATGACCGCGAGCGGAAGCATTGTATTTCCATTTTTGTTGACGTCAGCAGAGATCCTCCATCTCCTGGGATAATTGACTGCCGCGACGATAAAGCAATGTGTTCTGGACGTTCCGTACGGCGCCACAGCGCCTGCTCGGGTTTTCGTTGCTTCTTGCTTTGAAGGATACCGAACAATATGCCGTCAAACGCACGGCTGGCGGTGATGAGTGCAGCGAGATATTTGTGAAGGAGCGCTCCGACGTTAAAAGAAGCGGAAATTAATGCTTTGAACTTTCGTGAAATACTTTGAAAAAAGAACCAATCAATAATTGATACAAGCTGAACGTTTCTTAATTTCTAACGAACCCAGAGCAGAAGTTTTTATTCAAAATATAGAGTGTGCACATGTCCTGTTTTTTTTTAATTATTATCCATACATATGTGTTGTATTCGAGTGTGTTATGACAGGTATGTAGAGAAAGCTAATATACAGGCGGGAAAATTTAGTTTCTTATTCAGCGCAGAGTGTCCCAGCCTTGAAATTCACTATTTATACTGGCGTGTGCGTTTACACACTTCGTTCTGGTTTTGTGACGGGGCGGGGGTGTTTATTTAAAAGCTTCTTTTTGCTTCTTTTATCATGCTTGTAAACATTTTGAAGAAAGCGTCGATAGTGTACCGCAGGGCAACGTTCATCAACATGTTCTAACTTTTTGGGAGGCGAAGCTCCCTATGCCGTGTGTCGTGCTTTCGCGATGTATGTAATAGTATTAGTCGTCGTAGTAATAGGTAGCCACCTTCACGGCCAGACTAGAGGAGCGGCACACAAGCACTCTTTCCAATTAAGGAGGAAAACCGCACACGTTATTCATAATTAAAAAGATTGTTGTTTCTGGTGAAACAACTTACAGAGACGAGCATTGGCGACTTAATCTCCAATAAAACTTGCCTTGGTTTTGATGCTTACCAAAAAAAAACTAGTATCAGAAGGACGCACTTTGAGAACTACCTGACCAGGAAGGTTTGCCACGTTGAACTCGCTGGGCGTAACCTCCTTGGTTAGAGCCAGGTTTAGCGAGGGTTGGGCCACAGTGCTATCATCATAGTGAACTAGTATATAGCCATGACCTAGAGGTGGTGAAAGTTGGGAAGTTGGCACGAAGCGCAGGCCATAAGAAAGTGCGCTAGTGCCACCACTCGTTTAGTCCTTGTATTGTCGGCTGGATCGTGGTACTTCTATACGCCGAATACCTGATAAAAATTTGTGGGCTGACGGTACTTCGAGTGTTCACTAGATGGACGGACGGACGGACGGACAGATGGACGGACGAACGGATGGACAGACAAACAGACAGACAGATGCACGGATGGACGCATGGATGGACAGACGCACGGATGAATGTAGAGACGAACGCGCGGGTGGACGCCCAGACAGACGGATGCGTGGACGCAAGGATGAACAGATGGACGCACAGACGGACGGACGCACGGACGGACGGATGGATGGATGGATGGATGGATGGATGGATGGATGGATGGATGGATGGATGGATGGATGGATGGATGGATGGAGGGATGGTAGGATGGATGGATGGATGGATGGATGGATGGATGGATGGATGGATGGATGGATGGTTGGATGGATGGATGGATGGATGGATGGATCGACTCTTCGCCCCACTCATCATCATGCAATCCGTGAATAGGCTGTGATTTTTTTTTTCGCGAGCACCTTCAATCGTGAAACCTTAAAATACCCTTGCGAATGCCCCTGTAAAGTTCGCGGCGTTGATTGTTCCCTCGCACTGCTTTCAAAATCTGCACGGCGACCGAAAACACCCAAACTATATTTAAGAACGCCTGAGTCACGCCTTCAGTGAAGTGGTCTACATACTCGTGGTGTTATCGAACGCTTGCAAGGTGTTTCCCAGCGACAAGTTGACGTTCCTTGGCAGAGACTCAATCTCTGCAAAGCAGCTAGCTAGCTACACTCGAACTGTGTGGGTGCGTGCTTGCGTATGTGTGTGTGTGTGCGTGCGTACACGTGTGTGCGTGTGCGTGTGTGTGTGTGAACGTGAGTGCCTATGTGTGCAGTGTGCTTGTGTGCGTGTTTGTACGTGAGTGCATGTGTCTGTAGTGTGTGCTTGTGTGAGTGAGTGTGCGTGTTTGTACGTGAGTGCATGTGTCTGTAGTGTGTGCTTGTGTGAGTGAGTGTGCGTGTGTGTACGAGAGTGCATATGTGTGTAGTGTGTGCTTGTGTGCATGTGTCGGTGTGCGTGCGTGCTTGTGTGCGTGTGTGCACGTGTGCATGTGTGCGTGTGCGCGTGTGCGTGTGCTTGTGTGTGTGTTTCGAGGTAATATGGAGAATAATACTAGCATTAGAACGGACAGAAATCAGTGGAATTCCAAGAATTTCAAGCACAAACATGTCAACCTCAAAGCAGAAATTCGACACATAAGAACAATTGTCTTTTCTGCATGCATGTATGATCGCAAATTGTAGACTTTTTGTAAGTAACACTGAGAAAAAAGGATAGTTCCTCTGAGTTGTGGGGTTGGCGTAGAGTTCCCAGGATATCACGGACTGCCAAACAACTCAAACTTATTGTTCATAACGGAGATCAAGCCTGACTGCTCTTTAGAAGCAACTGTAACGAGGCTAACACTATCCCATTTCTGTCAAGTAATGCAAATCACCAGTTCAATGCGGAGAAAATTTATGTTGGCCATAGTAAAAATATATGACACAGTAGACGCACCAAACAGCTAATTGCATTCAGACAATCGCAGAGGAAGGTAAAAGTAAGTTTGAATAGCTAGCTTCGAAAAGTCATAATTCAATTTCTATTAAATTCTAAATATTTTGACATAAAAGAGACATTACAAAATTCAAAACCGTGATTCTGTTGGGTGAAAGCAAAAGGCCATCAGGGCTTGACGAAGGCTTTCGCACAATTTAACAACATATCAACATCATCATAAGATCATTAGTTATTGCATATTATTAATAAAACTTGTCTTGCAGGATCATGTTTAGTCGCATATTAAAACACGTAGAAAAACGTTTGATGAAAGGAACAGTACAAATGGTTCACTGTAGGAACAGTTTGTTTTTTTAACAGCGGTATGTCATTCGTGTTTTGACGACTGTAGTTATTACGTAAGTAAGGAATTGCCCGCTCATCAATGGCTCGTATGCTATGGAGGCAGGCATAGGATGTTAAACGCGCTAAATCAATAAGGAAAGATCCATGCTTCTTTCATTGGTGGTCATATACCCACGATGTCACCTGAAGTCGCGTACAGCACTTAACAACAATTCATTCTTCATAAACCAAACTGTCATCGGAGTTCTGTGTCGGGCCGTTAGCTACAGACAAGAGCATCCACGTAAGCACATACCATTGAAATGCACCATATACTGAAATTTCGTCGCTTACCGGCGTAACCAGCTGCGAACATCCGCGTCCTTTCCAAAGGTGGTGCCCAGTACCTCAGTAAGCTGAAGAACGCCGGGAACGTCAGACCCTGTAAATGTAAGTGATGGGCTTGATATGCATATACCCTCATGTCCTACAGATCTGTCATCTTCGGCTGATGGTGTGGCGCAGAAATGAAAGTTTATTGAACCAGTACACGCAAGCGCTAAAGGCGATTATGATTGAAATCACTATTAATTGGGTCAGTGCAGAAAATACAAATGCTAGACGGAATCCTATGAAAACAGCAAATACACTCTGCGCTAGCAAGATAATATGCAAGAAAAATCATGTGTTTAGATAAATTTGTGTTTGGAAAAAGTGCTAAAGAATTGGGAATACTATACCACGGGAAAGCATGAAGCCTTCTCAGTCCCTATGTGTTTAGAAAAAGTGTTTAATGATTTTCAGTTCTTGGTACTCCACCATGAGAGAGCATAAAGCCGTCCCATGGGCCTCACAGTTGATGAGTCTCTTCTGACAAAAATTACCATAAGGACTTCTATATACTGAAGAATAAGAGTTAGTGTGCCCTTTAACTATCCTCTATGTTGGTGGTTTGTTCGCATAATAAATGTACCCCCTGCTCACCCAGATCCACACTATTTTTCGAGATCTCGTTTGAACCATTCCATTGCAAGTCATCTTGGACCACCCATTAAATACAAACTATTTAAACCAAAGAAGAAAAACCTTAGCTTGTGCGACACTAATAGTTCAGCAGGTTTTATGGTATTGCAGATTACAGGGTCCTTTTGAAGGCCTGTTGTCTTATGGGACGAGCTTGCACCTTTACCGTTCCTTAGCTCTCGTAGCCCGCCAACAGCGCGGATACAGGTTCCCACACGCTGTAATGCATGCACTGTTGTGCCTGCACCATGTATTATCGCGAGTGCATGCGCTGGTATCTACCCTTCCTATTGTTCTTCAGTGATACCTTTCTTTCTCTCTCTCACACACACACACACACACACACACACACATATATATATATATATATATATATATATATATATATATATATATATATATATATATATATATATATATATATATATATATATATATATATATATATATATATATATATATATATATATATATATAACAAAGAGCACCATAAGGGCTCGAGCATTGACTGGCGCGAGCTCAGGGAACCCAAAGTAGCAGCGACGGACGAGGCAGACAATTCATTAGCTGGTCCTGGAACGGGTGCTGCCTTTGTTGCGTTTTTCTACAATGGCCCAGTCTACGACGAGCGTCCGTAAGTGCATCCGCGAGGCTCATCGGCGCCGTGGACCTTCAATCCGAGGACCGTCCACAATCAAGCAACCCGTGTCCCTCCTACTGCCGAAAGCATCTGTGCCACCGTTGAAGTACGGCGTCCAGGCCTCCTCAGTGACCCAAGGGCAAGCTTATCGCGGCGCCACCACGGTATCACACGGCCTCTTGATGCCCGCGAACGCTGTTTAACCTTCCCATGGTGACAGCCTCTCAAACACAACTTTATCGGCACCTCAGCTGCTAAGGGATGATGATTATGCACCCTCTGACAAGAATCCCGCCCGCACTGAGAACAGCGACAACCTAGTACTCCTCTGACGTCCCCGCTGGCTCCGCGTACGGATCAACTGAAAACACCACCAATATTTTCGGTACTATCACTCGACTCCGCATCATGGTGAACGCCATGGGTGCGCCTATTTCTACCCTCTTTCCTGCGATCATGCCCAAATGGTTCCCTATCGATTGCATGTTGGTGTAGCCGCCTTACAGGACTTTGAGGCCAATTCACCCGATAACTTCCACGAGGTCCGGCATTCCCTCACGGATCTTTCAGACCAACCGCACAGCTTGGCGTCGGCACACTCTGGATTTTCGCCAGGCATCTTACCATCCCCGCCTACCTTCGAACTACCGGAGTTCCGCGGCTTGCAGGACGACACCGACGAATGGGCGGCGACCGTCAATGCTTTTGGAGGTCGTGAAATGTGGATGGGCCAAAAGAAGTGGTGGATGACTATAGACCACCTTCGTAATGCTGCCATGGCGTGGTATGGATACGAAGGCGTGCAGCAGCAGTCCTGGGTGGAGTGGAGTGACACGCTCATACCTGCTTTTGGACGGAGTCACTATCACCTCTCTACGACCACCCAGTCCAACGTGACCGCTATCGAGGATGGAATTCAGGAGAAGATTCACCTCAAGGCTGCAAGAGTATTGCCGCTTACTGGAAGCCACTTTAACAACCTGCCCTCGTACCCACCCACCGCATTGGTCAGGCCAGCCATTTCAGGTCTCGGACTCTGCTCTTGTAATCAACACCATATCAACTCTGATACAGACAGAGACCATATCTCATTCGCAGCCAACTAAGTGATCACATGACTCAACATCTCATGAACACGTTAAGATGACCTATTTTCACTGGCAGCCCCGCCACGGTGGTCTAGTGGCTAAGGCACTCGGCTGCTGACCCGCAGGTCGCGGGTTCAAATCCCGGCTGTGGTGGCTGCATTTCCGATGGAGGCGGAAATGTTGTAGGCCCGTGTGCTCAGATTTGGGTACACGTTAAAGAACCCCAGGTGGTCGAAACTTCCGGAGCCCTCCGCTACGGCGTCTCTCATAATCATATGGTGGTTTTGGGACGTTAAACCCCACAAATCAAATCAATCTATATTTCCACTGGCAGCGGTCATAGATGGGCCCCTCACTTCACGAGCAGCCTCTCCGGAAGCCTGACCTATCAGAGAATTTAGACAGAGGTCTTTGTCACATCTAAGCCGAGTGCAAAGACACATACTCCTTGAAAAATCTAATTGACAGACGAAGCCCGAATTGTCGAAGCCCAATCCGTTGCGTCATGCAGGGACACAAGCGTGGCTGACCATACCAATACATAGCTAGTCCGTTGCAAAGGTTTTACACGGACTAACTATGGCACGCAAACATAATCTTACGTAATAGCAGACTTCTTAAATCATCACCCCACTGTTACGAAAATGGCACAAAAAATTATTAGCATTAAATGCTTCAAAAAAAAGGGAGCTTCATACCTTTCAGTATTACAAAAAGAATTCTTTGTTTTATTTGTGTTTTTGTTTGTGCTGCAATCTGTATATGCGTTTCTCTTATGTTCTTATATGTCTTAAGTACACTTGTATAATTGTATTCATCTTGTATACAAATACATTACTAAATATGTATCTTATATATTTATTCTTGTGTATGTATTATTATATGCTCATGTAATGGCCTCTGTTGTTTGTGTTATGTGTTTACATAGGGGTCTGACACTCAGTCAGGCATTCGTGCCTTTTTGTCAGTCTCTTAGACACGACAAATGTACATTTGTTTTTGTCGGTGCCTGAAATAAATATCTACCTACATATCTACTTTCAAGCCAGAAAAAGATTATGTCCATCAGCCCCTCAAAGTGGCATGTGAGCCCACGTATGACAAACAGCAATTCGCTCGGACTGCCAGTGTGTCTTCTGAGGGCCGCATAGATACGAACGCTGTGGTGTTCTCCCTTAGACCTGTCACTGATCAGCCGGTCGTCGACAAGTTCGGAGGAGAACGCAGCAAGTGGTCTTATTAAACTCGGGCCGCGGGTCGCATACACGTCTGACCTAGTTCGCATCCATCGTTCAGCAACTCAACCGTGTGGCCGCAAGACTGTCGGCCCTATCAGCCAGAGTCATAATCGGCAACACTCTGAGGCAGACCGCAGTGTAGTAGTTGAAAGTGATTCTTAAATGAAAAAAAGATAAGAGTGAGCCCCGTAACTGTCTCTCAGGGGGAGGACACCTCAACAGCAGCTCACGAAGAGTGGGGGTAAGGAGGAATTAAAAGGATAGAATTAAAAAGTATAGAGATAGAGAGAGCGGAAGGATAGAGCCAGGCGCAGGGACAGCCACATACGGAAGTAAGGAGAAGATATAAAAGATGTACACGGTCGCAAGAGTCCGAGGACGGGGCTCCACTGGGCGAGAGCTCTTGTCGGCGTCAGGAGATGGCGTAGGGCGAGCCAGTCTGCCAGAGCTGCGCTGTCGTCTAAGATGGCGGGGGCACAACCGGTTGGCACGAAATCCAGCGAGCGAGTCAGACATACGATCTCTACGACACAGCTGGTGCCGGCCACCAGAACCTCATATGGCAAATTTCCGGGCGAAGTCCCAGCGTGGCCGAACTCGCCCACTCCGGAATAGCCAATGCCACCCACAGGAGACGTTGTCGGCAGCCCACCACGCTAGCAGTTGGAGCCGAGTGTAATGGCAAAGAGCCCTACAAGGGCTCGATCGTTGATTGACTGGCATACATATACATATATATATATATATATATATATATATATATATATATATATATATATATATATATATATATATATATATATATATATATATATATATATCCCTCCGGTGGCTGAATGGGGCGCAGTCGCTCAGTGCTTAGGGCAAGCTTTTTTTTTTGAAAGCTTAATCTTCATCTCGCAGTGGCAACGTTATCTGTGGTATGTTTCAGAGAGCATTCAGGTGTGTGGTAAAGTGCGTGATGAAATATTTGCCACGCTGGCTGGCTGTTTAACTCGGAGAAGTGAACACACGAGGCGGCCCGTGAGGGTAACAGCAGCATCATCTTTAGAAATGTGCAGCGTATACTGTGGCGTGTAGTATAGTGTAGTGTCGTGTCGTGTAGCGTCATGTAGTGTAGTGTAGTGTCGTGTAGTGTAGTGTAGTGTAGTGTAGTGTAGTGTGGTGTAGTGTAGTGTAATGTAGTGTAGTGGACGGTGAAACTGGGAATATTGTGTGTGGTGTGTGTGGTGTGAATAACGTGGTGCGTCCTGTTTGCGAAAACACTGGCATTCGTTGTGGGCCAGTTGGAGCAACCGGTTGGCGATGGAACTTCACGATCTCACATTTTAGTAAAGGTAAAAATGCATTTTACGCGTTCATCTGCGAATGGGTACAAGTGGAGGAATGCGCGGCGTGCAGAAAAATAAAAGTGCATGATCTCCTGGTGAAATATGCGACTACGCATGAGCTATAAGCATATTGTAGCGTTGCCGAATCTGCATGTACGCTTCACCTCAGCCATAACTCGTATTATCGGATACCTGATACGTGTTGATGAAAACAGCGGATATTCTTCTTATCTACTTCCTACTTTTACGGCTCGATCCTTACGAAGTGAGCTTTAGAAGATTGTGTCAGGCCTAAAGGGGCAATGCAGTTACTAGAACATGTTATAGGTGTGAAATGCAGCAGGATAATTGCGCCAGATAAATCATATTTTATCAAGTTGAATTTCACTGGGTTATCGAGAAACGAAGTGGCAGTATTTCACTTTCATTTTGGCGAGGATATGTTACCTTCAGGCTATCACACGACCAGAAGTGTTTCTTTTTCTTTTCATTCATCTCCGAACAAACTTTTTCGGAACGAGAATCTTATCCGTGACGTCGCGCACAGCAGCTCAAAAACATGCTATCCGCCAATGCTGTACCTCGTTTAAAACTGCATTGCACATGGCACGATGGGAATTGAGTAACTTTACATCCATGTCATGCAAATATTTTTCAAAGTGCCAGTCACCGTGTACATTCAAAACGTTTGCTTTCGCAAAAGATCAGATTTTTTTTTTATGGCTGCCATCTACATGGGTGAAGCTTACTGCGTGCTAGTCGCGTCTCTCAATACTCTAAAGTTTCTCCAGCCATCCATCTACGACGAGCAAATTTCCACACTATGAGCAGTGACCCTTCCGCAACCCCCTTCTTTCAAAAGCTGTGACTTTAGAACATAGCAACGTAGAAATTTCTGTCGAAGGATTGCAGACGCGCAGCTGTGCTATGCATAAATATGCCGCCGGCGGAACTTTTTTTTTTGCCAACCAGCACCTGCTCCGAGAGAGGGTATGGTGGGCGGGGTGCCCACAGTGACGTCAGACTGTTTACAAACGAAGGCAGGTCTATTGTTATCGGCTATGCACGGCTCATACACCGCCAGGAAGTGCAATGTAATACTATACTAGGAGTGAAACCGGTAGTCATGCGTACGTCTGCGACTCCTTGCAGGAACAGCAGGGACACGAGGAATATCTGGTGCACTTGCATCACTCCAGCGACAACAAGGTGCAGCGATGAGTCCAGCAGTATGGCGGCTGCAAAAACGCTGAGAGACAAAAGAACGCGAATAAATTAATATTAATTGTTGGGGTTTAACGTCCCAAAACACCGTATGATTATGAGAGAAGTTATAGTGGAGGGCTCCCGCAATTTCGATCGCCTAGCGTTGTTTAACGTGCACTAAAATCTGAGCACACGCGCCTACAGTATTTTCTCCTCCATCGAAAATGCAGCCGCCGCTACCGCGGTTCGGTCCCACCACCTGCGGATCAGCAGCCCGGTGCCTTATCCAGTAGACCACTGTGGCAGGTGCGAAGAGATTGCGTGCATGTCTTAGATAAGAAACGTTTAATGAACAGGACAACACATAGACCGCTATTTTATTACAATCAATAGCAATCAAAGATCTTTACAATAAATAAATAAATGTGTTTAGAAGATGACACGTATTGACAGCTGCGATAAACATTACAGTTACATACTAACATTACAGTCATATACTAACAGAATATTCATATAGTAATGAAACCTTCAAGCATTCTTTTTTTCCACTTGCCATTAGGGAATGGAATCAAGTACATCCATCGATCACAAACACCAAATCATTCTCGGAATTTGTCAATAAAATTGAAGGCACAAGCAACTAATCCTCGACACAGAGAGGATATAACTACAGGCCTGTCTCAATAGTGTGATAAATGTATTCATTGTATATATTTTGGTAAACGCTATTTGTTCTTGCCTTATATTTATTGTAACCTCTTTTTTTACATTTATTAGATATTTCATTGTTCCTGAAATGTTTTATGTTTTATATATTGCACTTTTTGTATTGCCCTCCTGCTACGCTCTCAGATGAGAGCAGCAGTATTGGAAATAAATAAATAAATAAATAAATTAACTGCTAGAGTCGTAGTGGCATATGCCTGTTACTTTTCAAGGTACTTCTGGGGAAGCCTTTACTTCCGGTCTTTCGAATATTTAGAAAATTTGTTTTAATTACAAAAAATGATGTAATATATAAAAAGTTTTGGTTCAAGAGAAACATTAAATTGGATGCACATAATATTGGAGCATAACTTTACACAAGGTAAAGCCAATTAACTTGTCCAAACAATTAATCAAAACCTAATTTAAAGAGCCAACGTTTTTTTTTGTCAGCAGCGGGGTTGTTTTGGTACATGGCAAACAAGATCTGAACCACGTGCTTCGGCAGCTCTCGAAACACAAACTTAACCCGAGGACCACACCTGGGCACATAGCAACATGCCAGTGCCGCTAACAGCCACCCAAATAATAAATTAGAGTCACCTTCGAATTTTTCACGCAGTGGCATGCAACCTGTTTTCATTAAAAATTCCGTGTACGTCCTACGTAACAGGCTTGCAGTAACCGGGACAGCTTACAACTCTCCCATGTAGGGTACGTATAGTGTTCTAAAGCGTTCCCAATTTACTCTGAACATTAAGTCGCGATTTCACCTTCATCGCAGACAGCGAGTCCGTCGCGCAGGCCATGTGTTTTCTTACTAGCCATGGTGGCCTATAGTGTTTATGGGGCCGCATCCTCGATGGAGATGAAAACTGCTTGAGGGCCATGTACTTAGATTTAGGTGACCGTTGAAGGTAGGGGAGGTAGGGGACATTTTCGGAGTCCTCCACTACAGCGCCTCTCATAACCATATTGTGGTTTTAACGATCAAACCCTTGCAATGATGAATGATGACATCACGTGTTTTATTTTTGTTTGTTTCTGTATTACCTACGTATGTTTTATAGCGTGCAATGTATTCGCTGTTACAAGCTACTCCTCTTCGAGTGACAATAAACCAAAGAGCCCTATAAATATTCTATAGCATAAAAATCACAGTACAAAATCAAACCTCCGGTCGTAGGGAGTAAACTTTGATAATGTATTTCTTTACTAATGCTAGTGGGAAATGAACGCACATAACAGCCCGATAGCTCAGCCTTATGTGTTGGGCGGTTAGATCAGGCGCTGAGCGTACGCTTTAACCAGGGCTCTCCCGATGGAGAAAATGTGCGTGAACGATTCCGCCTGCATTGATAAGGTTATAGGATTTCTATCCTAACCCCCAGTATTTGGTAGAAAAACTCGTATATTACTATTGAACACCATATATACTATTGAACGCCATACTATTCAGGTTGTCTGCCTCTAGGTATTTTCTTTTAAAGCCTGTTTATGTCAAATCATTAACAAATCCACATCCATCTGTGTAAAGGCGCACGATGCAGCACTGTCAACGCCTGTGTTCGAAACGGTTTAACGACATTTTAAGCTAAGCAAAGGTGGGGACGGGAGGGCCAGAGCTGCTTTCGAATGCTCGCGCAAACGAAAAGAAACTGTGTTTTGCTACCATGGGAATTGCATGGGGGTTCAAAGGGGTACTTGTCCCCCTCAAGCCTCGCCAATGCTTGACTCACCCAAGTCACACAAGTGCCCTCTCCCTACCCCAGCCCCATTCAACATGGGTTTGCACTACCCCCTCCCCCCCCCACGAGACAACATTGTGACGATGCTCACGTTTGCTGCGAACTCTGATCCACGCGTCAAATGTCAGTAAAAATAGAATGTGACATGCGCTCATGACTTCGAATGCGCATATGGTAACTCGTTGCCGAGCATGCAGTTCATTACCTGTTAGCGTGGTACTTGTACGAGAGCGCCGATCCTATCACGTGACCGATGAAGAGACCCCACGTGAAGGACGACTGGAAGGAACGGATGAAGTCTGTCGTCCAGTTCCCGCTGGACGTGTCGTTGTTGAACATCTGCGAGGAAGTCCGAATTCGTGGCTTTCTTATAAAAGGGGACATGACGCTGAGATCAACAACAAAGTGAACGCGAAAGTGAGCAGAAAAAAACAAGTTAGGACAGCGTACCACTAGTGGCGCAAAGCGTGAATGAAGAGTGTAGGTAGGCGGCCTTTTTTTCGTTTCCCTCTATTTTCCTCCTTTTTCACTTATTTCTGTCCACCACCCTCAATTTCTACTTGTTTACGTCTCCTTTGTCTCAATTTCTATTTCATTCTCATACACTGCAAATACTGTTGCACCGCTGTAATACTGTTCAGCACAGGTTTCATATTTGTTCCACAGATGTGTTTGAAATTGTTTTTCGCGGTTTCCTATACATTTTATTCTATGCAAAATCCCCTCCTACCACTTATTTATGGCTTTAAAGCAAGCTGGCAGCATCATGATATATATATATATATATATATATATATATATATATATATATATATATATATATATATATATATATATATATTTATATATATATATATATATATATATATATATATATATATATATATATATATATATATATATATATATATATATATATATATATATATCTTACGTTCGCTCAAGATAGCCAGTAACAAATACCACTGCGAGCAAAATGCGACACTCACAGAAAGCGCTTCACTTGTGGCCTAAATGAACAAAGACAAGGGGAAGCTTTTTGCTTTATAAGCCCACCGACGCTTAATGTAACAGTACCTTCCAATGGGATTCCCTCTGCAGGCTGTAAGCGGCCTCCACGAAGGACCTGCGGATTCCGGCGGCCAGCGAGAAGCCGACGAACACCATGGAGACGAGCACGCATCGCTTGGGCCACGCCAGCAGGGTCGGCGTTCGGCCCAGCCACAGGCGCTCGGCACCGCGACGAAGCGGCGAGAAAGGGCCGCTGCTGTCGGCGCCCAGCTTGAAGCACGGCATCTCGAATCACTCACTCCCTGCACGAAACGACGTCTAATCAGCTGTCTGCTACAGAGTACAGCGCGACGAGCACTCCGATCGGGACTAGTTGCTTTGACACCGTAGACATTTCGTTACCGCAAATACGGGAGTGTACGCGAACAACGAGATAGAGCGAAAGAGATAGAGAGGCAAAGGTGTGTATAGGAGGATTGAAGGAAGGAAAGACGGCAAGATCAACCAGACGCGCGTCCGGTGTGCTATCCTGCACCGTGGGAAGGAGATTAAGGGATGAAAAGATAGCGAATTGATGAAAAGTGGTCGTATAAAATATTTGCGTTCTGATATTCATCCCAGTTTTCCTTGCTCCTATGTTTTTTTCTTCGCTACTACAGTGATGTTGTTGAGATAGCCAGCTGTAATGTAGTCTACCATCTCAATTTCTTTTGTTAACAATTTTTTATATGTTCGCGCGAGGTTAAACACTCTAGCGTTTCATGTACGTCGAAAATATTGGCTCGTTCGTACCTTGAGAACTGAACGCTGGATATTAGGCGTACCATGCTCTATTCTAGGTACTGCCACATTCCTGGACTCGTTGCTAAAGAGAGGATGCATAATGCGGAAAGTAAGTGACACTAACAAGAATGAATCCAGTTTGCTGGTGAGGAGAATGGTCGGAACGAAGTAAAAGCCAATAACAAAGTGTCACTGTTGAGATTATACACCATACGTGGGTCCTTCAGTAGAGACCATGCTATTACTCAAATCTGAGTGGATTGTACGGGTACCCAAGTAAATTGAAGCATGGACACACCGAAAGATCAACTTTTCTTTGGACTCATGTGACCGAGGAGCGGGGCTACAGGCAGTCACCTGTAGGCAGTCACCTGTAGACCGAGGAGCGGGGCTACAGGCGCCGGGGAAGGAAGAACTTTTGAGAAGCTTCTTGACGACACAAACACACAATTTATTAAATTCGAAGCATTTCTTAGCGAACTTCAGCGCCTTTGAGCGTATCTATCTAGCAATCTATCTAGCCGCCTATGACATTTAGCTCTCTTGGCCGTTTCGATAATGCTATCGATATCAAACTTGTTATGGCTTAACACGACTGTATGACGAGTATATTTGACTTGTCATGACATGAAAATCATGATATGTATGCCATGAATGTCATGATTTGCATTTCAGGGTTTTGCTGTTCTTGCTTGGGTTTCGTTCACATGACATGGTGCAAAACTGCTACGGTATAACATGATTGCATGGCGAACACAAGCGACAGACCCTAACAAGAAAATCATGGCATGCGTGTCATGTAACATGACTACATGCCACGCTCATGATGCGCTCGCGCCCGTTTCGCTAGCGTCACATATACCAAATTTGGTATTACAGTATGTGAATTGATTACGAAGGTATGTGACTGGTGCAAACTTGATAATCATGGGATGCGCGTGATGTAACAACACGACTACATTCCACGCTCATGATGCGCTGGCGGCCGTTTCGCTAGCTTCACACATACCAAACTCGGTATTACGCGACGTGAACGGACGACATAGGTAAATGATACATCCAAACATGGTAATCACAACATGCGTGTCATGTAACAACATTACTACATGCCACACTGATGATGCACTCACGGCCAATTCACTAGCTTGACATATGCCAAATTTGGTATTACGTGACGCCAATGGACGACGAAGGTATGCGACTGGTGCAAACATAATAATCATGAGATGCGTATTATGTGAGAACATGACTACATTCCGCAGTCAATGCGCCAATACATTTCGACGTGATGCGGTGTGCGTGCTCGCTGGCGTTCATTTTGTCGGGTCACGCCGGCGTTGCCACGCCAGGCACCGGTCGTGCCAAATACTCGCAGGCGCGCGCTGCGCTACGTTGCTTAGGCGCATGCGCGTTTCAGCGCGTCCGGCATCCCTCCGTTACGAAAAGAATAAGACGCAGGGTTGTCTGGGTAACGCATCGGCACGAAATGCAGCATGTCGCATTTTACGGCAGTTGCCGTCGGGCCGCGACGACGGACGCTGGTCGTGTCGGTCGCGCCTGGCGTCAGACTATAGAGTGCTCGCGTTTTGCTATAGCGTAGCGTCGCTACGCCCAGCGTACGCGCGCATCAACGCTACGTTTGCAGTATATGGGGCCCTTCATGATGCGCACGTGGCCGTTTCGCTAACTCCACTCATACTAAGTTTGTTATCACGTGACGTGAATCGATGATGAAGGTAAACGACACATCCAAACATGATAATCATGACACGGAAGTCATGTATGGCATCATTTACCTCCACCTCGTCACGTTGTGCTGATTTCAAAGTGACATATCACGATTTCTTATTGGGGATTCGCGTATCATCGATTCCCACTGTACGTGGTATCTGCCGATTTTTTTTATATGTACAGGTGTGAACAACACTAGGCATCGAGAAGCGACTTTACATCAGATATGACCGGCCGTAACAAATGCCACAGAGAGGGAGCACGCCTGCGCACATGCGGCGCGCTTTTTATCCCCTTCTGTCCGTCCACGCGCTTCTCCTGGAGCGCCGATTTCATGTCACAGCGTTCAGGCGCGTTCACACTTGGCCTCGAAGAGAGCGAAAGCGGCAAAACTCTCCGGAAACTGGCTCGTTTCACCGCCCAAGCGGCCAAACAATCACGTCGCGCGACTGGCGCGCGAAAACCGATCCGAGACCAGTTTTTCCGCCAAGTGAAACTGGATCCGGTTTCCGCTTCACGGCCTTGGCTGCGCCAGATCAAACCACGTGATCTAACCAGCCACGTCATATTCAACATGGCGGCGAAGGCGTTGGCGGTGGCTCGCATTGGCTCAAATCGCAAACTATACCTATGCAGCGCGACAAAGTTTGACGGCCTCAATGACGACGCGTGGATCAAGAGCCTGGTTTGGGTTACGATTGCCGAGAACTCTGGAATTGGACGATGCAGCAGCAGTGAGTCAGCATGCCCCAACGTGTCTCGCATTTGTGTACAGCCAGCTGAATGCGCCACCGCCGCGTTCGCTCGTGTGTTTCTGCTCGCTTATCTCCCGTAACAACGTTTGAAAAGGTGCCAGATGTTTCTTTTCACTAGTTTGCGTGAATAACTCAAATTCGGTACGAACTTTAGTTCTCAGAAAACAGGCAAAATCGAATTAACTGTCAAGGTGTCGACGGAAGTGGCGGCGGAATAGGCACAACAAATGTGAACATGTTCGACGCGCGCAGCCGTGGTTTTCCGGCCGCAATGGCGTTTTCGTTTCTCTTCACTTCTCAAGTGTAAATGCGCCATTGAAGACGGCCATGTTCACGAATGAAATAAATAAAAGAATGCGTTTCTTCATTTGCAGGATCACCTGAGGAAATTCGGGAGTCCATGGATCATACACAAACATCAAGTCCCATTGACCTCACGTAGCACTACCTTCTCAAGCCACACGCCAGTGACAGAGGTCATGGTTATAAAACGTCCTGAGGCGGTGACCTTTAGGAGCGAGATCATAGACTCTCTGGAGAGAAGCATAGCTTATTTTCGAAAATTATTAAGCTTGTAAAGTACATCTAACGCAGGTGCTGATAAACTACTTACCTAACGAAAAAGCTTATGTGCCTGCTCTGGTCGGCAGAGCTTCGTCAAATCATTCTTTACACGAAAGCACAAATAACAAGCATAGATGAACGGAAGATCCTGCTTGTGCTCGTTGAATAGACATTTGCATTTTAAAGTAAATATCTAAGTAGAACAACTGTTTCGTAATCATGGGAAAGCTTGTCATACTGAGACAAGCGGCCGGGCAACGTAAGGACTTCTTACAAACTCAAGTATATGCGCGATATTCAACGAGTGCGTACCGTCCCGACCATGAGGAATGAAAAACATCAAGTCGGCTAACGCAATTATTCGCCGAAAGAGCCTAGGGAATCGTGCGTGAAGTCGAGACGTCTTTTACGCAATCACTGAGCTGCGAATCAATTCATCGCAGATTGTTACTCCATCATTCGATATTCTAGGCAGCGCGTGTTTGTACAAATTAACTTTGTTCTGTATACTCCTGCAGGGCAACGTAGTCAGTCTTTCGCTGTACTGGAAAATTAAATTTGCAGTAATTTGAGTGCCGACATGACGCAGATGTTTTATGAGAACTGACTGATCGTTGGTGATAACAGTAGAGTGAGTATTCTTGAAAACATTGTTCCATAACTGCACGTCTCATAGCAGAGATGTGATAATAAGTGTCACTGTGTAACTGGGGCAGTGAAGAATAGTTTTCATCGCTCGGCGGTACGTGCTCTTCAGCGTGCACCTTTATACATCTAAACACGCAGGCGTTTTCACATCTCTCAAACCTAAGTATTCTGTTGCCGTGTTCGGGAATCTCCTGCGCAATGACGTGCTCATCAGCGCCACAAAACCACCACTGTGATAAGAATATCTGGAGTTTGACGTCCTAAAGCAACGATATACGATTACGAAAGACGCCGCATTAGAGGGTTCCAGAAATTTGGATCCACTCGGGTTCCTTAACGTGCACCTAAAATCAATGTAAACAGGCCTTAAACATTCTAGCTTAATCAAAAATACAGCCGGGATTCAATCCACGCGACTTCAAAGTTAGCAGTTCACTGCCATAACCACTAGACGACCGCTCTGAGCCAGGATCGCGAATCCAAAATATATTTAGGGCTTGCTTGTTCGATAAAGAATAGTTGAAATAATTATTTTAAATTGGCTCACAGTCACTCGATATGAGCATCTATACTAGTTTAATATTCTTGCTAGCAGGTAAGGTGCCCGGGAATTTCATTGGAAAGCAAATGAAATGAAGCCAATCTAACGAACAACAATTGTGGTGTTGATATTCTAGCTCTCATTATTATTTTTCCACGAGCAAAAGAAACGTGTAAGAACGTGAGTGCTTGTGATAATGATCTATGTTAGACGATTCAGCAACTTGCCTTCTACATAAATAACTCTGGGGCCCATCCCTTAGCGAG